CCTCACCCACCGGCTACCCGCTGGTTTGCACCCCAATTTGGGATTCTGGCTTCCCCGTTTGATGTTCCCCCGACCCCCGTGGTGTGCCAACGGACTCCGTCTATCGTGCCTATGTCTAGTTTGATATTTCGGGTACCGTTCGTAGGTTGTATGAGTCTTATGTATTGCATGTTAGTTGAATTGGTAACCCGTTGACCTAGGTGAAAGAAGTATGAACCCCTTAGGACTATTCTTAGTATGTGAAGGATCACGCATAGGTTTTGTTATACGTTTTCTCCCCCTTCCCAATGTGTTAATGTGGGTTGCATGTGCTTGCTTTGTGTTATGTGTGCATGATACCCCAATTCGGTTGCGATCGGATTGGTTATTCATGAGCTGCGGTTCAGAAGCTGGCTGCGGTCAGATTTACACTCTTGGGTTGCGGTCCACCGTTTGGTTGCGATCAAACGTTTCTACATGAGCTGCGGTTCATATTTCCTGGCTGTGGTCAGATGACATTCTCTTGGGTTGCGTCCACTGTTTGGTTGCGATCAAACTATGATGAGCTACGGTTCATCGATCGGTTGCGATCGACCCCTCCGTGTTGCGATACGGGGCAGGGTGCTGCGGGGCCGTGTCAGAGCTATATGCGCTGACCCTCATGTATGGGCATGCGATTGGTCCTGTGGCGCCGACAAAGTGTGCTATGTGATGAGATATGGATGAGTTGTTGTTATGAGTGTCTTGGGAGGTGACTTTGGGATTTATACTGGGAATCGTATATGTTGGGTTATGATTATTAATTGTGCTTATCTTTACCTGTCCTGCCTGTTTGTAAACTGTATATGCTTGGTATAACTGTTGTCTGTGCTTAGCTCTATCTGCCGAGTCTACCCTTGTTTTAAAAGCTAGAGTTCGTAGGATATATCTTCATGTTCAAAATGGTTTTCGTATATCTATATATATCTCTATATGTATTGTATTTCAACGCGTTGGAGTGGGTTACCAGCATATCTCGCTGAACAGATATATTTGGCTTTCAGGCACAGACGAGTAGATCACTGGAGCGCGCTAGAAGCTTGGGGCGTAGCTTAGATAGTTTTCCCTTTCGGCCTGCGTGCCATGATTTAGTATTGATACTGATTGAGGTTTTAGAATTAGCCTGTGCACCCGAGTTCTCTAGCTCGGGTGTGGCATAGCACCCTGTACTCTTTGTATCGTATTTTGGGATTTAATGAGATTCTATCTTTATTATACAAGTTTTAAAAGTATTGAAAATCTGGGGTGTTACAACGAGAGGCAGCTAAACATTACAAGTCTCAGCCTGAACAGATTAGAGATTAATCACTCTTGTTGAATATTAGGAAAGTTGTCTTAGTTTCCTATTCTTATTAGTAGTTTCCTAGACTAATTTTGTAACACCCCGAAATTTTAAAACTTTTAAGACTTATATAATAAAGGTAAATTCTCATTAAATCCCAAAACATAACATAAGAGTACGGGGTGCTATGCCACACCTGAGCTGGAGAACTCAGGTGCACAGGCTACCCAACTAAAATCCTCAATAATGTCAATACGTAAGCATGACACGCAGGCCGAAAGGGAAGCTATCTACTCTACGCTCCAAGTCTCTAGCGCGCTCCAGTGTCTACTCATCTATGCCTGAAAGCCAAATATATCTGTTCAGCGAGAGATGCCGGTAACCCACTCCAACGCGTTGAAATACATTATATATATATATATATATATATATATATATATATATATATATATATATATATATATATATATATATATATATATATATATATATATATATATATATACGAAAACCATTTTGAAGCAAGAAGATATGTACTTAAGAGACACAAGTTTTAAAATGCAAGAGTAGACTCGACAGATAGGGGCAAGCACGTTCAACAGTTATAAACAGGCATATAAAGATACTAGCATAAATCCTATGGTCGCAGATTCACTTCATCTCATTCATATCATCATTCCCACTCGTATCTCATCACACACAAGCACACTTTGGTGGCGCCACAGGACCAATCGCATGCCCATACATGAGGGTCAGCGCATATAGCTCTGACACGGCCCCGCAGCACCCTGCCTCGTATCGCAATACGAAGGGATCGATCGCAACCGACCGATGAACCGCAGCTCATCATAATGTTTGATCGCAACCAAACAGTGGACCGCAGCCCAAGAGTAGTCATCTGACCGCAGCCAGGAATATAAACCGCAGCTCATGTAAAACGTTTGATCCCAACCAAACGGTGGACCGCAGCCCAAAAAGTGATCATCTGACCGCAGCAAGGAATATGAACCGCAGCTCATGTAAAACGTTTGATCGCAACCAAACGGTGGACCGCAGCCCAAGTGTGTAATTCTGACCGCAGCTCAGGAATAACCAATTTGATCGCAACCAAATTGGGGTATCATGCACACATAACACATAGCAAGCATATGCAACTCGCACATTGGGAAAGGGGAGAAAACGTATAAAGAAACCTATGCGTGGTCATCCACAAACTAGGAATAGTCCTAAGGGGTTCATACTTCTTTCACCTAGGCCAACGGAATACCAATTCAACTAGCATGCGATATATAAGACTCATTTATCCTACGAACGGTACCCAAAACATCAAACTAGACTTAGGCACGATAAACAGAGTCCGTTGGGACACCACGAGGGTCGGGGAAACATCAACGGGGAAGCCGGAGTCCCGAGTTGGACACATTCCAGCGGGTAGCCGGTGGATGGCGGACCACCCGCCGGCTGCCCGCAGCCGGCAACGCCCGTCTCGGGCAGAGGGTAGGTGGCGGGTCCCCCTACCCCCACCTACCCCCGACTGACTCTTTATCAAAATAAACGCCCCGGGATCCGTTGTGGAACCCGAAACCATGCTTAGACACTTTTAAACGCAATTGATGACACCACGTAGACAATTAACGGATCAAAAGCAAGAATCATATAGCACATATCCTATCATGACTTCTAAACATAATCAACACCGGAACATGTGAAATCCCACCCAAATATATCAAGAATAACACAATACGAAATTCCCAATTTTAACCTAGGGCTCTAATCATATTCAAATCAATAAAATCATAGTTCATCTTTTAATTGCCAAAACGTCAAGATTCATCAAGAACATCACATAATCATCAAGAACCTCTTATCATCATCAAGATCATCAAGATTACACATAAAATCATCTCACAATCATCAAGAACATATCATCAATATCATAAACGATTCATCAAGACGCAAGTATAGAGAGGAGGCCAAAGAAGATAATTATAGCAAGGAAAATAGGTTTTGTTGAGACATGGGTTACCTCTTAGCCTTAATTAATCATTCCTTGGCTATTAAGGTTCTTCCCTAAGATTTCCATCCGTTTTGATCTCCCTGTGCTTGGTGGTGGGGAGTCCCTTGGGAATTCTTGTGTGGTGATATCTATTGTGGTGTGACTTCTAGGTGCCTCCTATGTCCTTATATATATATTTATGAGTCCTAATTAGGGTCTGAATGGTATGGGTTTACTAATTCTATTCCTTATAGGACTAAGGACTTGTTTTAGGGATAAGGGTCCATGGTCCATGGTGGGCCATATTAATTAATTAAAGAGAATCCTAACCATAATCTGAATAGTAAAGGTATACTTTCTTTATTCCTAATAGATGTGTAGGTAGGGGTGTGCAAAACCGACAAACCCGTCGGGTCAACCCGACCCATTCGGGTAAAACCACCCTGTCGAACCGAACCGGAGCCCGACATAATAGAACCGAACCAGACCGGCAATTTGAACGGTTTATTGAAGTCGGTTTGGGTCTCGTGTATGCTTACCCGAACTGTCCGACTACCCGATGTAGCCTAGGGTTAGAATGGATGTGTATTAAACGGCGTCGTGTCCCTCGTTTATATATACGCTCCTTTGTACGCTGCGCAGCCTTGAGTCTCAGTCTCTCATAGACCATTCTCTGATTTCTCTCTCGACTCTCAACCTAGGGTTTCTCAGTTCTCCCGTTCTCTCAACTCTCAGCTCTCAATCTTTGAGAGTTGAGACTGAGAATCTCAGATTCTCCGGTGGAAGCCTTTTCTCTGAGTTCTCTCAAGTCTCAAATCTCTATCTCTGAGATTTCTGATAGTCCGGTAGAAGTCCTTTCTCTGATTCTCTCTTCGATATTCTCTGGGGTCTCACCGTCTCAGGCTCTCAGCTGTTCTGGTGTTCTCTTTGACTCTTTGTGAGACTGTGGTGGAAGCTGTGTGGTGGAGGCTTTGTTCGGTTGTTGACTGACTCACTTGTGGACAGCTGGAGGCCTGGACGTTGCTTGAACTCTTGAAGGCCCTTGTTCTCAGGGTAATTTGTGTGAGAAAAGAAGTAAATCTCCAACCTTACTTATGATTTGTCATTTGTGATTCTTGTGAACTTGTTAGTTGTGATAATGTGATATATTATGAATATATGAAACTGTTATGATTTGTGACTCTGTTGTCTTTCTTGTTTATGGATTGAGGACCCTTAAATATTATGATATTTATTGCCTGTGAAATGTGGAAGCTATATGACACTATGACAGTATAGTGGTTGTCTTTGATAGTTTGAATGTTTGATGAAATGTGGAAGCTATATATATATTGCCTAACTGCCTATGTGTTGTGACTGTTGTCCATACTCCATAGTCCATATGATGAGCATTCAGAGATGAGACATGACAGTATAGTGGTTGTCTTTGATACTTTGAATGTTTGATGAAATGTGGAAGCTATATATATTGCCTAACTGCCTGTGTTGTGACTGTTGTCCATAGTCCACAGATGATTAGCATTCAGAGATGACTAGATGAGAGTCTTTTTGATGTCTTTGTCTCTTTGATAGTTTGAATGTTTGATGAATGCCTAATGGAAATATGGAGTTGGAAATATGTTAAGTGTTAAATGTTAATATGTTATGTGTATTATGATTTCCTATCTCCTACTATGTGTACTGATTATGTTCCACAGTTTATAGATGGACAATATCAGTATACCTAGTTCTGGTTGTGAACCTCCCAATTCTTCTTCTCAAGGAGCAACAGCAGTGGAAGCCCAAACTGTTGACACAATTACTCAACAGACTGTGCTCCCTACTGCTGCAGTTCCTGCAAAGAAAAGGAAAGTGGTTGAATCCAGATCAAGAGTTTGGGATCATTTTGTAAAGATTACTGATAGTAGTAATGTTACTGTTGAAGCAAAGTGTATCTACTGTGCAAAAGTGTATCAATGTCAATCAAAAAAACATGGTACTACATCTTTAAGGAACCACATGGTTAGCTGTATGAAAAACCCTCACTCTAAAGATACTAGGCAGTCCCTTCTAACATTTCAAGTTGTTGCTACTAGTGATGCATCTGAACCAACTGTGGGAGAGTTGGGGACTTGGGTATTTAATCAGGAAACCATTAGGAGAGCCTTGGTAGAAATGATTATCATAGATGAACTTCCCTTTATATTTGTTGAGGGGCAAGGGTTTAGGAGGTTCATTGCAGTGGCTTGTCCTAGGTTTAAAATTCCATCTAGGTGGACAATCAGTAGGGATATCAATGTCATTTATGAAGAAGAAAAATTGAACTTGAAGTGCTTGTTTAGGGGAAACACTCAAAGAGTCAGTATTACAACTGACTCTTGGACATCTATTCAGAGGATAAACTATATGGTTGTAACTGCACATTTTATAGATGAGGAGTGGAAGCTGCATAAAAAAATTATCTCTTTTGTCCCTGTTACATCACATAAGGGTGAGTATATTGCAAAAGCACTTGAAAGTTGTTTGATAGAGTGGGGGCTTAGGAATGTTTTTACTGTGACAGTAGATAATGCTTCATCAAATGATGTTGCACTTGGTTTTTTAAAAAGGAAAGTGTTGTCATGGGGATCATCTACTGTGAAGAGTAAATATCTTCACATGAGATGCATTGCTCATATTCTGAACTTGGTGGTACAAGATGGTCTAAAACAATGTGATATTGCTGTTAAAAGGGTTAGGGAGGTTGTTAGATATGTCAGAAGTTCTCCTTCAAGGTTGAAGAAGTTTAGGGACTTGGCAGAGTATAGTGGAATTGAGCAAAAAACATCCTTGTGTCTTGATGTGCCAACAAGGTGGAATTCCACATATTTGATGTTACAGTCTGCTTTGATCTACCAGAAAGTATTTGATGACTATGAATACAGTGATAACTCTTTCAAATCTGATCTGGGTGATTCTATTCCTACTTCTCTGGATTGGGAGTCAGTGAACAACTTGGTTAAGCTGTTGAAATGTTTCTATGAGATGACTATCAGAATTTCAGGGTCCCTATATGTGACAGCTAACACATTTTTCTCTGAAATTTCTGACCTGTATTGTATCTTGAATGAAATGGTGGAAGCTGATGGGGCTGTGAAACTAATGGGGGCTAACATGAAAGCAAAATTTGAAAAATATTGGGGTGATATTGACAAAATGAATTATATGATTTTCTTTGCAAACATTTTAGATCCCAGAGACAAGTTAGAATATATGCCAACTCAATTAGTTCATATGTATGGTGAGCAAAAAGGAAAAGATTACCTTGACAAATTGTTGGCTGGTTTGAATGAATTGTATGATGATTATGCTGTGAGTTATAGCCCATCTGTTGTCCCAGCTTCTGGTTCTGGTTCTGTAGCATCTGTTAATCCTAATGTTGAGTCTGTTTCTGCCCCTGTTGGGAGGCCACAACATCTATTGAAGGCCCAAATTAAGAAACAAAGAATGGAAACTGGTGGGAGGAAAAAAACTGAGTTGGAATATTATTTGAGTGAGGCAATAACTGAAGATGAAGGATCATTTGATATACTGCGATGGTGGAAGGTCAATTCTGCAAGGTTTCCTATCCTTTCAAAGATTGCTAGGGATATCTTAGCTATTCCTATCTCAACTGTTGCCTCAGAATCTGCCTTTAGTACATCTGGGAGGGTTTTAGATCCTTTTAGGAGTTCTTTAACTCCTAAAATTGTGGAAGCCTTGGTATGTACCCAGGATTGGCTTAGGCTGCCAAATACCCCCATTTCAATTGAAGAAAATCTAGAAGAATTAGAAAGATTTGAGAAAGGTAAAATAATGTATTATTTCAATCATTCAATTTAAGTGTTCATTCAATTGAATTCTAACAAGCTTCTTCTTCTTTGATTTAATTGCAGAATTTAGTGTTGATGGTGGAAGTGCATCTGGTGGGAGGACTTGTGGAACTACACTACCAACTATTCCTGTAATGGTCTTCTCCAATCTCTATACTTTATATCATATATTAATATCTTAATCTTGTATTCAACTATTCTACTGACTTTATATTCTGATGTTAAGGCAATGAAACTTGGTGAGTGGTGACTTTAAGTTGCTTCCCTTGATGAGTAAGTAAAGGCTTGGTAACTTACTAACTTGTAAGAGTAAGTAAGGTTGCTGCCTTTTGCAGTTTTGCATTACTGTTAATCTGTAATTATGTTAATGTCTTCACATGAGTTTTTGATATATTTTGGCAAATTGGCAATGATGAAAGCTTCCACCAAAGATCTGAAATAAGGATTAAGCTGGTATGTTGCTCAATGTTCACTTGTTGAACATTTGAAGCAATTTGCCCTTAATCCATACATTGATATGGACAAATATGCTTACTGAGCCCTTAATATTATTGACTTATTGTTTTTTTAATTGTTTAGTTGTTTCACTTGTTTCAGTTGTTTGTTTCCTTTACTAAATTGCACTAAGTTTTAACAGGAAGAAGAATAGCAGTCTAGAACACTACTACACTAGGAGTATTACAGATTTACAGATTTAGTTTAGGAATCAAGATTCAGGAATCAGGATGGCTTTTTGTGATCAGGAATGAGGAATCAACATGGCTTATTGTGATCAGGAATCAAGAATTCAACATAGCTTTTTGTGAATTTGTAAATCTGTAATTCTGGTTTTTTTGTGAAGTGTAATCTGTCAAACTGTAAATCATTAACTTTTTATGGTTTTAAGGTTTTTTGTATGGCATTAAGGCATTTTGTCTTGAATTGAATTGGTTTACATTTTTAGTTTTATTACTCTAAGTTAGAACATTTTATCTCTTATATCAATTTAGCATTACCCGAACACGAGTCGGATATCCGACCAACCCGACCGAACCCGAAAACATAAGAACCCGAAAGATAATATAAATAAAATGAAAGGTTCGGTTATACAATTCCCAAACCGAAATCCGCACGGTTTAGGCAAACCACACCCCGAACCGAACCGAACCGTCCGATGCACACCCCTATGTGTAGGCCTAGGATTCCTAATTAGGATCTGATTAGTAAAATGTTGACTTTCTTTATTTCTAATAGGCTTATGACTCTAGTTTAGGCAAGGGTCCACGATCGGTGGTGGACCACATTAATTAATTATAGGCTTATGACTCTAGTTTAGGCAAGGGTCCACGATCGGTGGTGGACCACATTAATTAATTAAAGGGATTTCTAATCAAATTAAATTCTTTTTAATTATTATTAATGAAAATAATTAAATAATCAATTCGGGATTAAAGGTCGTAGCACGGGGTGTTACAAATTTAGTATCTAGGTTAGTATATATAGAGGTCCATAGAAGTATAGAATATACATTAAGAGAGACAATCTATTGTAATCTTTCTGTAACACCCCGTGTTACGACCCCTAAACCCAAATTAATTAATTAATTACTCAGCCCAAAAAGGGAGTTAAAATCTACTAATTAGCTAAAAAGGAGTCCACGATGGTCCGTGGGCCTTTATCCCTAAAGCCAACCCCTTAGTCCTATAAGAAATAGAATTAGTAAACCCATGCCACCTAGACCCTAATTAGGACTCTTACTTATATAAATAGAGGCATAGGAGGCACCTAGAATTCACACCACAAATAATCTCTGACCACACAAGAAGTTCCAAGAATTCCCTTAGGAGAAATCAAGAAAGGAGAAATCTTAGGCTGTGTTTGGAAACCCGGAAAATGATTTCTGGAAATCATTTTCCGGGTTTTTGGTGTTTGGCTACACTTGGAAAATCCAGTCAACGGAAAAAAAATTTCGTTGACTGGGAAAAATGTGCTCAATTTGGCGAAAAATGACTTCCGCCAAATTTTGGCGGAAGTCATTTTCCGCCATTTGCTATTTCATTTTTTTTTAGTTTTAAACATTTAAATGTATTTTTTATTCTAAATAAAATAATTAAAATATTTAATTATATCATTATACTCATTTTTCAAAAAATGAACCAAACACACCAAAACAGTTTTCCAAATGCAACCAAACACGGGAAAAGGAAAATGTTTTCCGGAAAATGACTCATTTTCTAGAAACCATTTTTCAGAAGTCATTTTCCTGCTTTCCAAACGGACCCTTAAAGAAAGATCCTTCATAGCCAAGGAAATTAATTAAGGCTAAGAGGTAATCCATTTCTCAACAAAACCTATTTTCTTCGCTATAATCTCTTTCCTTGGCCTCCCTCTATATTCTTGTGTCTTGATTGAATTCTTCTATGATAATTATGTTATGTTCTTGATGATTGATAAGATGACTTATGTGCTTTCTTGAGAATCTTGATGACCTTGATGTTAAAAAGAAGTCTTGATTATAATATGATGATTCTTGACGAATCTTGATATTTTCTTGATGTTAAGAATAAAATATGTTCTTGATGATTTGGGTGGGATTAGAGCCCTAGGTTGGATTGGGAATTTGTATTGAAGATGTTCTTGATTTATATTTGGGTGGGAATTCGCATGTTCGGGTGTTGCTTATATTTAGAAGCCGTAATAGGATAAGTCCTACATGATTCTTGCTTTTGATCCGTTAATTGCTTATGTGACGTCGTTATTTGCGTTTAAAAGTGTCTAAGCATGGTTTCAGGTTCTACAAAGGATCCCGGGACGAATTTATGATGAATGAGTCAGTGGGGGGTAGGTGGGGGTGGGGGAACCCACCACCTACCCGCTGCCCAAAAGGGCAATGCCCGGCAGCGGGCAGCCGGTTGCCCGCCGGCTACCCGCTGCCCGGAACAGTGCCCACCGGCGGGTGACCCCCACCCATCGGCTACCCACTGGTCCATGCCCCCCTCGGGTCCCCGGCTTCCCCGTTTGATGTTCCCCGTTCCCCATGGTATCCCAACGGACCCCGCTTGTCGCGCCTGAGTCTAGTTTGGAATTTCGGGTACCATTCGTAGGTTAAACGAGTCTTAGGAATTGCATGCTAGTTGAATTGGTAACCCGTGGACCTAGGTGGAAGTTATATGAGCCCTTAGGAATTATTCTTAGTATGTGAATGATCACATGTAATCTTAATTATATGTCTCCCCCTTCCCTATGTGAATTATGTGTTATTATGTGTTATTGCGTGTTACGTGATGCATGACCCCAACTTGGTTAAGATCAATTGGGCTATACGGGCAGTTGAATGGGCTGAGAACCATCCCAACTGTTAACCAGGCCGGTTAAGATCGGTCAGGGATATTAATATGATATAGGACTGGGGTCCACTATACGGGCAGTTGAATGGGCTGAAAACCATCCCAACTGTTAACCAGGCTGGTAGAGACCGGTCAGGTATATAAAGATTATGTATAGGACTGAAGGTCCACATGGGCCTCGGTGATATGACCCACCGACCTGGACGCGTCAGGCGGTGTGTAGGGCCAACAAGCCGAGGAAGGCTGTAGTCCACCGACCTGAGTAATCAGGCGGTGTGTAGGGCTACGACTGGCTGCGATCCACCGAGTGGTGGGACATCGGTATGTAGGACCATAGTCTCTGAGGATCTTTGCCCACCGACTGAGTTTAGCTCAGCGGTGTGTCGGGCTTGATCCGCTACTGTCCGTCGATTGTGCGCATCAACGGTGTGTAGGGTCGTAAGTCCCCCCTTGTAAAGGGGATCGCGGTCCACCGACTGGGCGCGTCAGCGGTGTGTCGGATCGCGGTCCGACGCTGAGTTCGTCAGCGGTTCTCAAAGGGTTGGTTGCGATCAACTCCCCTCGTACCGCGATACTAAGGTAGGGTGCTGCGGGGCCGTGTTAATGCTATAAGCATTCACCCTCATGTTCGGGGCATGCGATTGGTCCCGTGGCGCCATCAATGATTATGTGATATGAATGATGATTGGATGATAATGTGGATTGGAATTGAGAAGTGGCTTGTGACCGTAAATGCGTATTCCTTATGATGTTATTTCTACTTAACTGCTTATTGTTGTCTGATGTGCTTATCCCGATTTGCTGAGTCTATTCCTAGTTTTAAAACTAGTGTCTCTTAAGTATATATCTTCCTGCTTCGAAATGGTTTTTTGTATATCTATATATATATATATATATATATATATATATATATATATATATATATATATATATATATACATATATATATATATATATATATATATACTATATTTCAACGCGTTAGAGTGGGTTACCAGCATCTCTCGTTGAACAGATATATTTGGCTTTCTGGCACAGAGGAGTAGACACTGGAGCGCGCTAGAGATTTGGAGCGTAGAGTAGATAGTTTCCCTTTCGGCCTGCGTGCCATGCTTATGTATTTACATTATTGAGGATATTAGTTAGTTAGCCTGTGCACCTAAGTTCTCTAGCTCAGGTGTGGCATAGCACCCCGTACTCTATTATATTATGTTTTGGGATTTAATGATAATTTACCTTTATTATATAAGTCTTAAAAGTTGAAAAATTTCGGGGTGTTACACTTTCACTATAATATATTCTCTTTATTCTCTTGTTCTTTGGTTCTCACATATTTTGCCTCCGCCTAACTGGCGGGTGGTGGTTATTCTCCACCCGCCAGACCTATCAATCCCTCAATTTCAACATGGTATCAGAGCCTACTTTCCTAGGCTATTTTTCTTCAAATATCAAAAACCCTAATATAAACCTTAGCCTTCCGCCGCCGCTGTCACCACTGGAGTTCGCCACCATCGGAGGGTCACCATTGCCGCGACGATTTTCTTTTTTCCTTCGCTTGCCTATTGTTTTTTCTCCCTAACCAACTCCACAGGACGACTAGGAACCTCGTTGCGAGCTTCAAAGTGAAATCCGGTCGCCGTCTGCCGCCGCACGCGCCACCACCGCCGCCGAGATCTGCTATCATTTTCCGGCCAGATCTCTCTGCTCCGATCTCCGTTTGAGACGTCCTTGCCACCATTTTGATTCGCCTCCAGGAGACGCATCTACCTGTGTTTCCCGATCTTCCGTCGGTCGCCGGTCAACGCCGGTAAACTTAGCCGATAAATGGTCAACGTCAGTCAAACCTCCCTTGAGGCAGAATCTCTTGCCATTTTTGGACTTTTTGGTGAAATTTGAAGGTTCCTTTTTGGATTTGTTGTCGAAATTCTCCCCATGGTGTTTTTGTTTTGGTATAACCATGTTTGTTTCTTTATCTCCGGTATGTCTTATCCCATGGGCCTTCAGTTTCAGCACTATTATAAAGGCCTTTGATTATTTCCCATGTTCAAAGTAAGGGGGAGTGTGATTATCTATAGTCAAACGGTGTTCTATTTTACTTTTTTTTTCTTAGTTATCTTCATCTTGTTACTTCGGGTTTATCTTCATTACTATGGATTCTACTGCATCTTTGTTATTCTTTGCTCCCTTTTCACCTCTACCGCTCTCTTGTGTTATCGGGAGGTTGTTCATGTTCAACTCTATCCTTGGTGTGTTCATCTTCATTCCCGAGGTTCGTGTTCAATTCCGTCCTCGGTGTGTTCATTCCCAAGATTGTGTTTAGCTTCGTCCTTGGTGTCTTCGTCTTTATTCCCAAGGGTCCTTGGTGTCTTCATCTTTATTCACAAGGATTGTGTTCAGCTCCGTTCTTGGTGCCTTTATGTTCATTCCCAAGGAAGGGTCAGACATAGTGCAATCTTCTTTGAAGTCATCCGTCCTAGAGTGTTTATGTTGCTGCGATGGTGTTCGTGTTAGTCTTTACCCTTGGTGCCTCCATTCCCAAGGATGTTCATGACAAGCTTCGCCCCTGGTGCCTTCATTCCAAGGGTTGCATTGTCCCTCCGAAGCCATTCAGCACTGTTAACCTCTAGTTGCATTTAATTTTCATTTGTAATTTTGAGTGAGGTAGAGTGCTTGTTTTAATCCAAGCTTGGAACTTCCAGATGTTCCAGCTTGAAGGGGAGTGTTGAATATTAGGAAAGTTGTCTTAATTTCCTATTCTTATTGGTAGTTCCCTAGATTAATTTAGTATCTAGTTTAGTATATATAGAGGTCCTTAGAAGTATAGAATATACATTAAGAGAGACAATCTATTGTAATCTTTCATTATAATATATTCTTTCTATTATCTTTGTCTTTGGTTATCACATATCTTGCTTCCGCCTAACTGGCGGGTGGTGGATATTTTCCACCCGTCAGGTCTCTCAAATGCTCAATCTTAACAACTCTAATGCCGTTCAGATCAATCAAGCTAACACATAGGATGTTATAGCAGCGGTCAATTACTACAATAACAGAAAGAACAACTACGCAGGTGTTGGTAACAAGGTAGCAAAATGCACATATTGCGGCATGACAGGACATACGGTTGAAAAATGCTATAAGAAGCATGGTTACCCACCCGGTTGGGTCCCTGGTTACAAATCAAAGGGGAAACATCGGGCTATGGCGGCAACCTCTGCTTCTGTGTGTTAGGAACAGTTTATTCTAAGATTTTGATGATACCAGGTTTAGGAACTTAGACCCCTCTTTTTCGTTTTTCTTTTCTAGTTCTGTTACAGGACGAATCGTTCAGTGATTCATGTTTGAGCCTTTAGTGCACGAAGCACTCGCAAAGATCAACTCATGTTTATCTTAGCAACCCAAGTTGATATGTATTCTTTAATTCGTTGTCAAGAGCGAAGTACGTAGTAAAGATGTGAAGATAAGGCCAAGGGGTTGCTAAAGACTGAACTTTGTAAGGGTCTACCTCTTAGGTTAATCATTGCCAAATGATAAAGAAAGATAATTTGAGGAGTTATAAAACAAATGATAAAGACAATCATTCGTTATTGAGCATTAAAGACACGAGTTATTATCTAACTCAATTTGACAAGCCAGATATATTCTCTATGATATACCTGTCCAAAGTTAAGTGTTGGGTGAATTATCTTGGACAATTGGAGTCCTAGGAACAAAATTTAAAGTCATTGAGCATTAAATGATAGGTACCTTTTTGGCAGTACTACAAGACAAAAAAGTAACCTACCTTATGAAGCAAACGGCTATATAGTACTAGCACGCCATGCACGCTCAAAACCTAGCGGTTATTACACACTTGTCAATAGGGTTTTGAAATTTCATCTTCCCTCCAACAGGATGAAAATTCTCACCTATAAATGCCCCCCTTCATTGTCTGAAGGAGGTGCTGGTCATCACTCATTTCAAGCTAAGATTTCAAAATGTTCAAAGCTTTCAAGTATTCTACGACCAGTGATTGTGAAGAGATTATAAGCTTTTAAGCACTTTTAAATCTCAGAAATCTTGGACAAATCTTCAACATGTAAGATCCAGTTTCATCAAGCCAAGAGTTCGATCAGTTGGAGAAACAGGTCTTCCCGCGCGGTCAATGCGGCATACACCATTAGGTATGCATAAATGCACCACACAGTGTTCAAAAATACACCATTATATGTGGTGCATTTTTTGGCATTTCATTATGGTGTATTCTCGAACACTTTATGGTGCATTTATGCATACCTAATGGTGTATGCCGCACTAACCGCTCGGGAAGACCTATTCTCACAGGAACCAATATATATATATATATATATATATATATATATATATATATATATATATATATATATATATATATATATATATATATATATATATATATATATATATATATATATATAATCTTTATCTATTGAATTCCATTATTGCATAGCATATGCCTTGTGATGAATACATGAGAAATAAAGTATGTTATATTGCTTGTGAGTACTAGCATGACAGTTTGGTCTTACTTGATACTCATATCTCTTGCATATTGCCTATCTTGGAAGTATGTTGGTATTTCATATGTTGATGAGGTTACATGCTTATATATATATAGTATCCTTACTTAGGATTCATTGTTTTATTGTCTTGTTGACTATGCTCATTCTTGTTCTATTTGAATATCAACCGTTTTCCAAAATCTATATCTATATTTATGTTACAGGGTTGAGTGACTTTATACTTAGCATTTTTATGCTAACAGGTTTATTTTCTTATGTGTTTTTATAACCCCTTTCAGGTGGACTTGAAACATGATGAGAGTGCACATAATGGTAGTAGTGTGTAGGTCTAGAGCTTAGTAGATGCTAGCCTTAGTTATCCCTTTTTCCCTTTTAGTGATTGATGTAGATACTGATGTAGCTAGACTACCCTTTTTTATTGGTGCGTAGACACCGAGGTTCGCATACCCCTTTGCAGTTAGTAGTTTTAGCCTGTGCAGTTACTCGAGGGTGGATAACTATGACGGTGACACTCTCATTAGTTTGTTGACTTTGGGATTTTTGTATATCCTAGTTTATCGTTATTTCCTTATTTTTTGTCTTTTTAGACGACTTAAATCTAGATTCTAAAGTTTAGAAAAAGAGGGTGTTACAATAATAGCAATCACCCGGATAATACCCATAGGGACAATGGTGTTCCTCACTATTCTGACTCCATGCAGAATGAGAGCCATGATGCTAATGACAGCCAGAATGCAGCCTATGATCTCGCGGACAATGTCAGCCCTTCGACTGGTAGCCATCTAGTCGACAATATATCTCACTCTTCAACTTCGATACAGAATAACAATGCTGGCAATTTTCTAATCCTCCCATGTAGCTTAGAAGGTCCAGTAGACAATGCCAAGTATCAAGCCGGTTGCAAGACTATTACTGTGACTCAGTCATGAAGAACAAAACTACTCCTCACTTCCTCTCAAAGGTGTTGTCATATGATAGACTTGAACTTCCACATAAAATTTTCTCCATGGCTGTTACAGCCATCAATGAGCCAAAGACATATACACAAGCAGTTAAACACGACTGTTGGAAGGAGACCATGGCCACAAAGATAGATGCTCTTCAAAAGAACAACGCCTGAGAATTAACTAATCTCCCTCTTGGAAGCACCCTCATAGGGTGCAAATGGGTTTAAGTGACTAAGCTAAAGGCTGATGGAACTATAGAAAGGCATAAGGCAAAACTCGTCGCGAAGGGTTATACTCAACAACTCGGGGTAGATTATCTCTAAACTTTCTCTGCAGTAGCACGAATCACAACCATTCGCATTTTTCTAGGAGTGGCTGTCTCTAAAGCTTGGCATATACACCAAATGGATATCAAGAACGCGTTCCTACACAGGGACCTCAATGAAGAAGTTTATATAGTGCACCCCCTGGTTTTCAAACTGAGAAATCGAATCAAGTATGCAGATTGCTGAGATCGTTGTATGGTCTCAAACAAGCGAGTATACAGTGGAACACGAAACTCAGTGTTGCTCTGTCTCACATTTGTTTCAAACAGTCCAAATCGGACCCATCTCTATTCACCAAAGGGAACACCGCAGAATTCATTACTCTGCTTGTATATGTAGATGACGACATTCTGGTTGCAAGTGCCAGACTGGACCTAATCTAAGAGCTGAAAATATTTCTAGATACCACCTTTAGAATCAAAGATTTAGGCACCCTTGGTTACTTCCTGTGAATTGAGGCGGGTTCAGTTGTAGACGGCCTCAACCTATGTCAATGCAAATATGCCTTAGAAATCCTAGAAGAAGCCGGTTTCCTAGGGTGCAAACCTGCCAACACACCGATAGTACACAACTTGAAACTGACTCATGATGGTACTCCTCTTACCGACGCCAGCTGCTATAAAAGATTGGTGGGCAAGCTTCTATACATCACTGCCACAAGGCCGGACATCTCCTATGTCATCCAACAGTTAAGCCAATTTATTATGGATGCTCACACAGACCAGCATCTGACAGCAGCACATCAGGTGTTAAGGTACATCAAGAAATCACCCAATGCCTCTTCAACCCTGCTAACATGGACATACATCTCAAAGTATTTTTAGATTCCGACTAGGCTACATGCAGTGAGACTCGAAAATCAGTCACAGGCTATTGTGTGTTTCTAGGTCCGGCATTGATCTCACGGAGATCCAAAAGCAGGTTACCATATCAAAATCCTCATCTGAAGGTGAATACCGTGCCCTGGCTGCCACTATTTGTGAGGTACAATGGTTGACATACCTCCTTCAAGACCTGCAAGTCGAAATGGCCAAACCAGCAACGATGTTCTGTGATAGTAAATCTGCGGTGGCCATAGCCGATAACCACATATTTCATGAACGCACCAAGCATATTGACATTGACTGCCACATTGTCCGGGAAAAATTAAGCCAAGGGTCGATCAAGTTACTATCTGTATCATCCTCCAACCAAGTAGCAGACGGGTTCACAAAGCCTTTACCAATTTGCCAGTTTCGCAGTTTTATATCTAAGCTAGGTATACAAGCTAGGCTTGCATGCTCCAACTTACAAAGGGTATTGAGCAATAAAGAAGACACAACAGTTTAATTAGCTTAGGGAGTATTATTGTAATCTCCATCCACTGTCAGTTGTATCCACCTTTACCGCCTGTTATCCTCCTTGTATAAGCAGTCTGAACCAGTGTTGCAAAAATCACGCCTAGGAGCTAGGCGCCACCGGGCCACGGTGAGGAAGGCCAGAATTGGCCTCCTCCGCGGCCAGGCGGCTAGGCGGCTGCCTAGCCGGCTGAACGAGCGATTTTTTTTTTTTTTTTTTTGAAAAAAAAGGTGTAGAAAGTTTGGCAAGGCATAACTTTTGACTCAGTCATCTGTTTTGGACAAATTATTTTTTTTTGAAATCGCATATTTTTCGAGATCTATGTGAAACAAACGGCTGTAGGCGATTTGGCCCCCAATTTCTCAAAAAAATGCTTCTTTTGGTCTTAATTTTAGTTTTTTTTTTTTATGTATTTAGATGGTTTCAATAATATTTTAAACTATTTTACTACCACTTACGTAAATAGTTTGTAAGAAAAAACTAGAGGAACTTTATATTTTATTAGTGAATTTTTACAAATTTTAATTAAATTTGTTTAAAAAAAAAAAAAAAAAAGGGCTCCTAGGCGCCGAAAAATCGGCTCCTAGGGGGCGCCTAGCGTATTTTGCAACCTTGGTATGAACTGATAACGAAGATAACAATTTTTCCTTGCATTGATTCTATTCTCTTCATCGTCAATCCTTCTCCCCTCTCCTCATCAAGCCCTGCATTCGTCAACAATCAAACCAACTTAGGAGAAATTAAAATAGGTGCATGTCTATTGATTCTATACAAAAATATTAATAACGATATATGTTAAAAGACTTACTGCTGTTACAATTCCCATCTCACTTCTTATTGGTGTCCATAATCATAAAACAAAAGTATTATATGTAAAGCGATAACAAGGTAATAATGAGGAGCAACAAATATGTACAAAGAACATGGAACTAACACATGCATTCATATGTTGCAAAAGAGTACAATTGTTTAGTCTTTTAAGACTCAATCTTTAAGATTGATTCGAGTACATGTACTCCCCATCTCCCCCTGAAGATAACAATTTTCAAGTTCTACATGATAAAATTATTATTTCAAAAGAGTGTGGAGAAGAGATATGGTACAATCTTCAAGATTATTGATAGGGATTATACCCCAAGTATATCGGCCTCCATGTATGTCCAGGGGCGTTTGATCAATATTCGGGTCAGGGTCGGGTGTCCCATGGGAAATATTTTATTCCCGTAGAGTTTGGATCCCGCCTATATAAAGGACGCTCCACACACACAAGAGGAAGGCCATTTTCAACAATCTAGAATACTCAAAGAGGCCACTCCTTTACTCTCTCTCGATATAGCACTTAGTCATTTTCTTCTCTTCCTTCTCTCTACAACATGGAAGGGCAATGAATAACAAAGCTCTTTGAGTTAAATTCTCCCATTTGCTTTCTACTTTACATAGACTGATGTACATACGAAATACATTATAGGAATTAAATCTATCGATTGTTACTAGAGTTGACATTTTATACAATAATCCCGTGACTCTTTTGGAGCTTACGTGGGTTGAATGTTTATATAATTTGTATAATATTCCTTAAACACACCCACTTATAATTTGTATAAAAGATACTTTATTATCGTCACATAGGGCAGTGAAGGTAAAATAAACATAACTAGCAATCATGGAATTTTTTGTTCTACAATAGTGCTCCAATACATAATCCAAGTTCCGCTACATAATTGGCAGTATAATAATAAATTTAGATATGCAGCTTATTAAAGTTATGACCTTAAAATTATGTGTCATTAGAAACTAATGTTTATTTGAAATATCCTTGATAGATTTATAGTTCTCAAAATGAATGAAAGTAAATATCACAACATGTTTGGTCGCCGAGAGTTATCCACTCAATGGGAATCTACTGTTGAAGTGCAAAGGCTTTATTTAACTAGAAATAGTAAAACAATTGACTGAGTAATTTCCTCCTCTAAATCGGAAAATCTAGAAATGAATGTGTACCATTAGGTACTTATTAAAGGGCTACTAATGGAATTAGCTCATGTTCTAAAGACAAATTTTTGAAAACCAAGTATTATCTCGACTCGCAGATCGAGTATTTCCTTGAAAGGAATTTTATATACCAAATAGTCTATTTTGGAAAAATGTCTTTGACGAATTTTTATGGATAAAGTATCATTGACTTATCACACTAACAATTGTTCAATAAATCTCTTGAAATAGATAAAGGACCATTTAGATTCAAAGAAGTTAATGTGGACATTTTGGGACTGATTGCTAGTTATGTTTGTTTTACCTTCACTGCACTATGTGAGGACAATAAAGTGTCTTTTATACAAATTATAAGTGGATGTGTTAAAGGAATATTAGATAGGTTATATAAATATTCAACCCACGTAAGCTCCAAATGAGTCACGGGATTATTGTATAAAATGTCAACTCTAGTGACAAGCAATCCGATAGAGGTCCGCCGCAAGCCGCCATGAAGTCCGAGTCCGACGTGAGCAAGACTGCCCCAAATGATGCTCTCCTGGATGAGTGGTGAAATCGGCGTCGAAATAGCACCTGGGCATTTCCGGAGCCGGCTGAGCAGGGACGGTGATGATTTAAATAATTATATATCAATCCAAATATTTTTAATATATTATAACAAATCCATTCCGTACATCGCACGGGCGAAAATACTAGTAAAACATAATAACATAACAACCATAAATAGAGAATTCAAAATTCAAAAGGAAAGACACAATTAAGCAACTCTGATCTGTGGACTATAACAATATTCAATATAATAGATGGAGCTGAGGACTTTAAGGATTTGTTGAGCTACGTGCTGGGCCCTCACTGAGTTGGAGCTAAAGCTGATGATGCTAGGATTATTGAGGAATTGTTGATAATTGCTTCAACCTTAACCTTGTTATCAATTTCAGCCAAATATGTGTTTATAACCCAACCTAAGTCATTAAGATCTATGAAACTCAGAGAATTATTAAGCTGATATCCTTGTAAGATCTGATACATCGCTAAACCCATCTCCGTCTCTCTATTCACTCTCTTTAGATTCAGAAGTTGAGTGCCTAATTTCTCAAACCTCTTTTCAAGGAATCTGCCAATGCTTTCTTCCATATCTTCAACACTCGGCCATACAACTGGACCTTCCTCAAAACGGCTGTACAGTATTGCACCTGCCTCAACACCGCACAGGATGCTCAGCTCATTAAGCATATTCAACATCGACTTCTTTTGTTTCTCGTAAGAGCTTTTTCTTTGGGTTTTATTCACCATAAAACCCAATCTTACTCTTCTTCCAATTCTTCGCATGGTTACGTTTGTGATGAGAATATGTGAATTGCAAAAACAAGAAGCTAAGGCATTGATTTATATAGAATAAAATGCATCATCAATTGATTATTATTAGGAATGGAATTCAATATCGTATTCGGTTCGTTGAATGTTGTCATTGAATGATTAATTAGGAAACATCAAACAATGTGATTTTACCAAAGAAAAATTATATGTTTAATTTTTACTTAAAATGATGGATTTGCTTATAAATTTTAATTTTTAATTCAAATAAAAGATATTTTATAATTGCATTCCATAATGGACAAAAAGGTTCGTACTAATTTCAAATCTGTTGTAATCATAACCTATAACTCGTAGCCATCCCCAAAAACGGATCATGATATAGCAACACACACACACAAAATATATATATATATATATATATATATATATATATATATATATAGGCGGGTTCAGGTGCGGCGGTGTCTTACGGTGCGGTTATTTCTTACGGTGCGGCAACACCAATAGTTCACCAAATATGCACCATCAACGTTAGGAAATACACCACACAAAACAGAGTAAACAGAGCCCTGCATCACCAAACACACACCATTAGGTGTGAGTAAAAACACCATACACTGTTCGGAAATACACCATTGGGGGTGGTGAGTTATATGGTGTGTTTTTTTGAGTCTGTGGTGTATTTTGTGATGTTTTATTACATTTCATTGGGGTGTGTTTTTATTACACTGTTGGTGCATATTGTTAACACTGTTGGTGTATTCTGGAATTTGACCGCATCGCCGCACCGTAAGACCCCGCCGCATAAGAGCGCTCTTCTATATATATATATATATATATATATATATATATATATATATATATATATATATATATATATATATATATATATATATATATATATATATATATACACTAGTTTTTTTACGCGCAAAGAGATAATGCCCAATGATTACTTTTAAATAAATATTTCAAAGTATATCAATACAATATTATATATGAGATGTTCATGCATAGATAAATAAATGTTGAATTTGTTTAATTATTTATATTTGTAATTTAAAGTATATAAATGCAAGATAATATATGAGATATTGATTATAATGTCACTAAAATAAATGTTTGCAACTTTGTAATAACGCTAGTCTAAATACTTAGTCTAGTTTTACACGCGCATTACGCGAATGAGTTAATGCTCAAATGTTTATAATTCAATAAATATTTAAAAATATATCAATGCAAGATTATATATGAGAATTTCGTATATAAGTAATTTAATGTCGAATTTGTTTATTTAAATATGTAACTCATAGTATATGAATACAATGTAATATAGGAGATTTATTATAGTTGCTACTAAACTTTTTTTAAATAGTAACCAAAGTATTTTTGTTGCAAAGGGTTCTAATATATTTAATGAATGCAACTATATACAAGATCAATGAATGAATCAACGGTACCAGTCCTTTAGGTGTTTTGCTCAGTGTTCATTTAGTTCAACCATTATTGTTGAATTAATTATTATGGATAAAGAAATTCTTAATTTAAGGAATTTAGATTTAGTAAAAATTTAAAAATTTTAATTATAATGTAACCCAAAAATATTGGACGATTGGTAAACATGATGTAACTTAAAGATTAAAATGCTAAAGAAAGTGTTTAGTTATTCAACAGTTTGAAGCAACAATTTGTTCCAAACCGCTGAAAATACAAACATTGCAATTTACAATATTTCCACTTAGCATTTTTTTTTTTTTTAGAATGCTTTCCCCAAAACACCTCTATATTAAAAAAAAAAAAAAAAAAAAAAAAATTACTGTAGAGCCATTTCGACTCCTTGACTAACAAGAGCCAGTTTCGCTGGCTCACTACTTGCCCATCAATGGATGGGCAAGCTTAATTTTTAAATTGGAGTCTTAAGCCTCCTTTTATAGGAGTCTCAAGACTCCCATGCTACTTTTCCCACATATGTGGGAAAAAGGGGAAAAACTAAGAGGTCTGGCTCCCCATATGTTTTTTTTTTTAATTAAATTATTATTATTATATTATTATTATTATTATTATTATTTATTTTTTAAAACTATTATTATTATTATTATTATTATTGTTATTATTATTATTATTATTATTATTATTATTATTATTATGAAATATATGTATACTCTTAGGTCATTTTACATGTTAATCTAAACAGTTAATTTTTTCAAATATCTTTTTACCAACCGTTGATATAATTTACAGGTCAAATTCGCTAACGTTAACCGCTAACTGTTGATTATCAAACAAGGACATTGCGAGATTGTTTCCCACTTCAATTTGTTGTGTGATTTGAATATTCTCTTTGTCAACAAATCTCTCAAGTAGTTAATATGATTGGCTTAATTATATTTTTTTAATTTTTTCTTGGTATTAATAAAATACTTGGTAAATAAATATATAACATTATTTTGTATTATAACTTTGATATTTAATTAAAAATTAGTGCACAAAAAAGATAATAGACAATATAGTGAATATAATCAATTGATGAATTTGAATGTAGAGAATATTTTTTACATTGGAGAAAAATAAAGACAATGGCCTTGTTTGGCAAACAACGGTTAGCGGTTAGCGTTAGCGGATTGTGTTAGCAGTTAACAAATAGCGGATAATGTTAGCAGGTTTGACTAGCGGATTATATCAGCAGTATGTAAAAAGATGTTTGGTAAAATTAGCGGTTTAGATTAACAGTTAACATGTAAAATGACCAAAAGGGTATACATATAATAATAATAATAATAATAATAATAATAATAATAATAATAATAATGATAATGATAATGATAATGATAATGATAATGATAATGATAATGATAATGATAATGATAATGATAATGATAATGATAATGATAATGATAATGATAATGATAATGATAATAATAGTCAAAATTAAAATCAAAATCAAAATCAAAATTTAAAAAAAAAATAGAAGAAATGTGATGTGGGATCAAATCTGATCCCACATCGAAAACAAATAAAAAAGGGGCGTTGAGCTCCCTCATTAAAGGGAACTCAACGCCCCATTTTGCATCCCAGCCCATCCGATTCCCACAACGAATGGGCAGGGAATTAGAAGCTTCAGACTTCATTGCACCGCGGTCAAAAACGGCGCCGTTATAGTTAACGGAGTCCGCTTGTTTGGTGTATTAAACACCAATTGACACTACAGTATATCTAAACCGACACTGCAGTTATATCAAAATGATATTGTAGGTATAGTGAAATGAAACTGCAGTGTATATAAAATGAAACTGAATAACATTTCACATATTTGAGTGTATATTGTACAATGAAGCTGTAATTATATCAAAATGATCATGTAGTTGTGTTTTAATGAAACTATAGTGTATATAAAATAAAATTAAATAACATTTTCACATATTTGAATCTATAAATATCGAATGAAACTATAGTTATATCAAAATGAAACTGTAGTTGTGTTGATCTCACACTGCAGTGTATATAAAATGACACTGAAGAACAGGGTTTCTTTTTGCAAAAGGGTGCGAAACGGCGGAAAACAAACACTGTTTATTTTCATTTAAAAAAAAAAAAGACATGCGGTGCATGATATAATTTGCCATTAATGAAGCCTGAGGCTTCTCATTTTAATAACAACAACATTAATTTTGTTTTTTTTAATATAAGGGCGTTTTGGGCTTGCCAAAGAGAAACGTTGCAGCGTTTCTAAAATCAGCGATTTGGAGCAAACCGTTGTTAACCAAATAATGGGACATTGTAGGGACAATGTAGCGAATATAATTAATTGATGAATTTGAATGTAAATAATTTTTATATAGGAGAAAAATAAAAATAATATAACTAATAAAATTATTTCTCTTATTTAATTTAGTGATAATGAATATTTTTTTTTTTGAATAAAGAAATTGTAGACACATAATTCTAAATTAAAGAAATGCATATGTATTATTTTTTTGGTGTAGCTACTAAATTATTATTTAATATAATTTAATAAGAGTAAAATAGAGTACTAATTATGCCAACTTTGATTGGGATGAGGTTCGATCTTAAGACCTTTCTTAATTATGTTAGCGATGAACTAATAGAAATTAACGAAAAAGATAATATTTAACGAAAAAGTTAACGGATAATCATATAATTAAAGATAAATTAGGAAATCGCAAGGAAAAATTAAAATCTTATCAATCTTAGCCATTCATCATTTGATTTAAAAATTTGACCGTCATTTTTTCTATCTATTATAGGCCTAACTCTCTTTGCCTCTTATTAATATATATATATATATATATATATATATATATATATATATATATATATATATATATATATATATATATATATATATATATATATATATATATATATATATATATATATATATAATGGAATAATAAATGGTCTACATAATGATCATTAAATATGTCCGTTACAAATATTGTCCACCATGAATTTAAAAATCACATGGGAAAAAACCTAGTTGAGGAAAAGAGTACATGATATTTGTAAAATCATAGATTGTACTGGTTGCCTCATTAAAAACCTTACTAAGGAAAACCCCATTGGAAAAGAATTAGTTAAGGGAAAAAGAGTGCAACCGAATCTTCACATATTTCACCACTCTTCTGGAGTCTATGTGAATAAAGGAATTTTGGTATAATTATTTTGAATTGTACCAAGTATGACAGCTCCTGTCTATTGAATCTATACAAAAATATTAATGACAATATATGTTAAAAGACTTACTGCTGTTACAATTCTCATCTCACTTCATATTGGTGTCCATAATCATAAATCAAAAGTATTATAAGTAAAGCGATAACAAGGTAATAATGAGGTGCAACAAATATGTACAAAGCACATGGAACCAACACATGTATTCATATGTTACAAAAGAGTACAATTGTTTAGTCTTTTAAGACTCGATCAATCTTCAAGATTGATTCGAGAACATGTACTCCCCATCTCCACATGAAGATAACAATCTTCAAGTT